CAACTTTATTTAGTGAATGGTCTTTGACTTAGGGAGGGTGGTAGGAGGAGAAGAAAAGCAGCCAGAAGAAATTTTTCTAAGCACTTCAGAAACAGGAATGGTGGTGGTAGTGGTGGTTGTGTGCCATGGAGTCGGTTCCGACTCATAGAGACCCATAGGATTTCCAAGGCTGTAAATCTTTATGGGATCAGAAAGCCTCATCTTTCTCCCATAGAATGGCCGGTAGCTTTGAACTGCTGACCTTGAGGTTAGCAGCCTGATTATCACATAACCACTCATAGGATACAGAGCTAATGAAGCTATCACTTGGGTTTCAGGGGATGAGGCAAATCCTTAAGATGTATGAAGACTCAGGAAACGTCCTCAATCACTGACTTCCAGAGAAGATGCACACATTACCTGGAGAACAACAGTTCATAGAAAGTTCTAGTTTACGGTCCTCAAAGTTACCAAGACCTATCTGCCTGCTCCTTCCCTGGACAAAGCAGAGGAGTGAATCTGGCAGGAATGCTGGCAGGATGAAGGTTGAACCTTGGAATTGTTTGGTTTCATAGCTCTCCATGATAGAAAATCCATCTGGCTCAAGTCTCAGCTGGTTACTTAATTTATAGCTAAAGGATAGTTTCATTACATAAACAACAACAACAACAACAAAAAAAAAACAAAAAAAGCATCGTTCCAATCGTTTTTGAGTTGTTGGAGGTTAAACAAGCCTGTGATTTTTTTGGCTACGAAATCTGTGAAATACACACCCTTAAAAACCAAATCCAGAGTCCTGGTGTGGCGCTGTGGGTTCATGCGTCAGACTGCAAAGCCATTTGTACTGCAAGGTTGGTGGTTCAAGCTCACCAGCCGCTCCTTGGAAATGCAATACAGGGTCGCTATAGGTTGGAACTGACTTGATGGCACTTAACAACAATAACCAAATCCATTGCTGTTGAGTCAATTACTACACACAGTGACCCTAAGACAGAGTCGAATTGGCCCACTGGGTTTCCAAGGTTGTAATTTTTCTCCCTTGGACTGCTGGTGGGTTCAAATTGCTGACCTTTGGTTAGCAGCTGAGTACTTAACCATGTGCCAGCAGGATTCCAACAGTACCTAAAGATGTATCTGATGGAAAACAGGCAGATGCAGGGAAACAGAGGCCTCAAGAGACTTGCCTGAGAAAATGTGACCGCATAATTTTCACTATGATGTTCATGTGTTCATGTGTTAAGCACTTTGCAGTTTCAAGCAACGTGGATAGCTGCCTTCCTTACCATCCTCATCCTAAGAAAAGTCCCAGGGTAAGGCCCAGTGACAATGCTGAGCGCTCAGGAATGTGTTCCAAGATAGCAAATGTCCCGAGATTTCCAGAATGGTATTTCAACACAAACCTAACTTCATGGTGGTGCTGGCTGTGCGCTGTTGAGTTGCTTCTGAGGGTTTCCGTGACTGCAATTCTTTACCAGAGCAGAAAGCCTTATCTTTCTCCTGTGGAGTAACTGGTAGGTTTGAACTGCTGACCTTGCAGTTAGCAGTCCAAAGAGACCCTTTGACATTATGAGAACATAGAAAATGTCTGTCATAAGGGATCAAGACACATTTTTTAAGTATGTCTCAAAGACAAGTTCTCTCAGCAACAGAAGGGAGCTTCAAAAAGTTAGTGGAAAAACTCCAGTATCTTTTCATGCCCCTTTTCCTTGAGGTCCCCTCCTATACTTGTTTTAGTGCTGTTGATTGTCTTTAAAAAAAAAAAAAAAACTATTGTGCTATTGGGAAAAAAACACCAAAGTTAAGTGACATCTTCCCAAATTATTAAACCTTTGTAACAAGTTCCAGGATTGCTGTCCACATAAAATAACAGTTTTCAGATGGATCAAGCATTTAAATGAAAGTGGTGAAGAACTCAAAAGTGAATTCAAGGCAGAGGTCAGCTCAGAAGATCACTCCAAAGGGGTAATCTTTATAGGTTTTCTCGAAGGGAACATGATGTTTTTGTGGCCTTATTATGAAGAAGTTTTAAGAAAACAGAAAACTACATTGGTGAGGAAAAGGCCAGGAAATGGTGCCGAAGAATTTTTTTCCATCATGATAAAGTAATTGCTCACTCTTTGAGATAGTAACAGCTGTCCCAGAAGAATTGCATTGGAAAAACTCATCCAATCCACCCTACAGCCCCGATCTTGCCCTTCAGATTTCTTTTTGTTCCTGGAATTCAAAGAAGATTGGAAAAGAAACATGATTTGAGTCCCTCAAGTATGCCAACACTGCCATTTTGATGTGGTGTAAATCAGAGGGGGCAGGATTCTTACAGAGATGGAATCAGTGACTTTCAGAAGTGTATGGACCAAGAAGGAGGACAGGTCAAGAACTAATAGCGTCACAGTTTGATATTTTTGTTTAATACAGGTTAATATGATTTTGTAGTGATACTTTTTGACTTACCCTGGTTCAAGGATAAAATGTGAAAACAGCCCTGGTGGCCTAGTTGGGCTCAGCTGCTCTGATCATTAAATCAACTTGGCTGGACCAGTAAAGATGGAGTTATCACCTCCATGATGAGCTCTACTATGACACAATCACCCTGGGATGGGATCAGATGTGACCAGTTCTGATGTGATGTGATTAGCCCTTGTGTTGTAAACCTTCAATCCTATGTTATGAGGCCAGATGCAAGCTACAAGATTAGGTTGCATCTTGACTGAGTCAATCTCAATATAAAATAGGAGAGAGAAGTGAGCAGAGCTTACAGGAACCTACTACCATCAAGACAGAAGAGCTGGGATAGTGTGTCCTTTGGACCCGGAGTCCCTTCTCTGTGAAGCTCCAAGTTCCAGGGGAAGACTGATGCCAAGATGTATAGGGAACTTCAAGAAATATTGGGCCGAAGAGACAAGGACCTTTCCTCAGAGGGGACATAGAGAGAGCCTGCCCCTAGAGCCTACACTGAATTTGGACTCCTAGCCTCCTAAATGTGAGAGAACAAATTTCTGGCTGTTAAAGTCATCCACAGAGTCTTGGTGTGGTTCTGTAAGACAAGCACTGGACTACTAACCACAAGGTTGGTGGTTCAAATCCACTAGTGTTTCCTTGGAAACCTATACAGGATCACTATGGGTCAGAGCGAACACCACAGCACTTAACAAAAACAACAAAATCATCTACTTGTGGTTATATCCGCATTAGATAATTAAGACAGTGGCTAACCTAAAGGTTGGTGGTTTAGAGCCACCAGATGCTCTGTGGGAGAAAATTGTAGCAGTCTGCTTCTGTAAAGACATACAGTCTTCATTTGTGATATATCAGATGTAAGTGGGGAACCATAGGGAGGCAGCAGGATAACTACTGTTGCCAGGAAGGGATTGTAGTCACTGAGATGAAACAAAGCATACAATCTGTTGACTATAAAGCTGATGATCTTGTCTGTAAACCTTAGTCCAATTCACAAGTTAGAAAAAAACCCTACAGTCTTGGAAACTCCATGGAGTGGTCACTCTGAATTAGAATGGACTCAACAGCCAAAGGTTAATGGTGTTAAGAAACATTCTATAAACGGAAATGTACCACATTCAACATTGTTCAAGATTTATTTGAACATTTCCCATCATAATTGCATTTTAGACCACAGTGCCTTACAAAGCACTTTGAAATACAAATACAAATGCTAAAACTCACGATCATGTGTAATTAACTTTCGGTGTACGTTTTCCATCTGGAAATATTTTGTTTCTATATGCTTATAAATACATATCTTTTTAAATAAAAGAAGTGCTTCTTTCATTATAAACCACAGTTGCAAAAACAAAGTGGGTAGTGAATACTCAAAATAGTTTAGTCAAGGAAAATTTGTAATGCAACTGAAATGCAGTAATTAATCTTCAACAATGAGAAATACCAAGGAGCATGACACATAAGCATCTACGTTAAATCACATCAAGTGGACATGTGTGCAAAGTTAGTACAAGGCTTTGGTGGTCAAAATGTGGGCACGCAGTAAGGGGTATTTCACATAGACGTTTATACTGCAGTAGTGGCCACTGCACGTGTACAGACACCATCTACTCATGTGACCGCAGACAGAAATCTGTAAGCATTTTTCCCTATCAGAAGTTTCCATCTTTTCACAGAATTTGGTCTGAGATATTAATTTAATAGGAAGATGTTCACTGTGTCTTAATATGATTAAATCTATGTTATTACAGGTAACATTTCAAATTCTGAAAAATAAAAAAAAAGATAAAGTAGAATGGGGTCTTGCCTTTTTTCAGTCACATTATTTTTAACAAGACACAGTTTCTTAGTACTTGCCTCTTGCAATCTAAAAACAACGGGGATTTTCTTTTCTGTACAGGCAGCTATGAGGTTATCGGGAAGTAACTGTCCATCTGAAAGGAACTGGTCATCTTTTCCTTGATCAATCAGTATGTCCAGCTGAGAACCTGGGTAGGACTTCACCAGATGGGTCGCATCATAAGCCTGTAAAAGACAAA